TTCCCACTCACCCCCCCCCCCCACCTTGTGCAACATGACGTGGCAGCGTGCTGGACGGCCGGGCCCTGGCTGTGGTGCCACCCGACATCGGCAGCCTGGGGCGGCTGACCAAGCTGTGGCTGAGCAACAACGGGCTGAGGGCGTTGCCCCCAGAGGTGGAGCGCCTGCAGCACCTGGACTCCCTGTGAGGCCGCCCCGCCCCCCCATTCGGAAGTCCTTGCAACAAGGAGATGGACAAGCAGGGCAATGAGCCGCATGGGTGCTGCTGTTTGGCGGAATGACACGGTCAGACAGCTGCTGCTGTGCCTTTGTTCGGCAGCCTGTGCCTTGGCGCCAAGCGCGGGCAAAGAATCAGCGACCCACCCATTTATGTGCACCACCTCTCCACCCACCCCTGCTCCTCCTGCCCCTCGCCCCCCCCCCAGGTGGCTGGGTGGCAACCTGCTGCGCTCCGGCACCCTGCCCTCCGCCATGACGCGCCTCACAGCCCTCAAGAAGCTGTGAGAGCCCGACCCCCTTTGTGTGATGGTGTGATAATGGAGGGCGGGGGCAGTCAAAGGACCTCACATGGAAGACACTGGCGCGACACGCCTCGACCTGCGGCTGCTGGCCCATCATCATCCGCACCCTCTATGTTGAGCTGCCAACCCAACTGTCCCACCTTCAACCTTGGACCCCCCTTTTCCCTCCCCCCCCCCCCCGGTCTCTGTCCAGCTGGCTGCCGTCCAACCACCTAGTGGAGCTGCCAGACTTCATCTGTGACCTGCCCTGCCTGGAGTGGCTGTGAGCAACGCCTGGAGGGGTTGGCCTGAGGGACGAAGGCTGGCGCGGGGGAACATGAGGGCTCCGGTCGCGGCCGAGAGGGCACGTTGTACCCAATTGGGTTTTGATGCGTGCACAAGGCATGCGCAGCCCTTGGTTGCTGTCTGGGCAGCGGGTCGCCTTGTCATTCTTACAAGGTATCGCTCTGCACACAAACCCAAATCTTCGCCACCCCCTCCTCCCACATTCCCTCCTGCATCGCTGTCGCTCCCTC